AATGAATTGATGTCATTCAGGTAAATGCTTGCTTATACCAAAGTAATTCTTTGCTATAAGCAAATTGTGTAAAAAAAAAATACTAATCACTTCCCCAAAGTAGTACAATGTTACTATGGTAACACTGTACTACTTTGGATATATAGTGAAATATGAAAATAAAATCTTAATAAAAAAGAAAAAAAAATGTAATAAAAAATTTTAAATTAAAAAAAAATATATATATTTTTTTTTTCACACTGTCACCAGTCAGTGTCCCTGATCACCGCCATGCCAGTTATATGATGACGATGTACTGCACTGGTGACAGTATGTAAAAAAAAATAGTGAAAATATTTTTCCATTTTCCGAAAAATGACAAAAAAAATACAACTTCAAAAAACTCGCCATGCCTCTTATGAAGTATGTCGGACTGTCTACTCTGCAAAAAGGGGTCATTTGGGGGATATCTGTACTGTTCTGACATTCTTGGACCTCAAGAAATTAGATTGGCTGTCAGTACTTCAGGACTTATCAATATTCAGATCTATACCATAGTTTGTGAACTCTATAACTTTCCTACAAACTAAAAAATACATCCTAATTTGGGTTATTTTCCCCAAAGACCTGTAGTAGAACACATCTCGGCCTAAATTTATGAAGAACAATTATTTATTTACAAACTTTTATAACAGAAACAAAGAAAGATGTTTTTTTTTTCCAAATTTTCGGTCTTTTTTTGTTAATTTAACAAAAAATAAAAACCCTGGCGATGATTAAATACCACCAAAATAAAGCTCTAGTTGTGTGAAGAAAATGCTAAAATTTTAGTTTGGGTACAGTGGTGTATGACCGCGCAATTGTCATTCAAAGTGTGAGAGCGCTGAAACCTGAAAAATGGCCTGGGCAGGAATTGCCCGGTATTGAATTAGTTAATGCATATGCTGTACATTTATTTATTTTTTTAAGTATTGCTGCTTTAAGCACTCCCTCCCTGAAGTGTTTTCCCGAAACACTGGCAATTCAATTTTTGCTAGTCAGCCTGGTCTACATGAACTGTAACTGCTGAAAAAAATGTAAGTAACGCAAGTGAAATAAAAAAAGGAATACATACACTATCACTGCTATTATTAAGGTGATCACTTCCTTTGCCCATGTTGGGCAAAGTAAGGAGGACACTTTATTTCCCCACACCCCTAGCATATATTCACTTTTCCTTGCTTCTGATTGTCTCTGTTTTGCCATGATGAAGGAAAGTCTTGTCTGAAATGACATTTTGGTGTTTACACATGGCTATACACTCCAGTGACAGCAATGGCCCAATCATATTGTCACAAACGAGAAGGGCAGTGAGTCACATGCTCACACATACCCTGAAGTAGCAGGTATTCCACTTTGCTCCTGGAAAACTGGTGGAAGGGGAGTGAGCACACAGGTGAGTATACGCTCCAGGAGATTAGGAGTCTCTCTTACTTTGCCTTTCACTGGCAAAGAAGAGAGTCACTTTGATACATTTTTATGATGATTGTTATTTTTATTCATTTTACCAGGCTCCATATTTTCCTCTTTGTTATATGGAATAGTCTATGGTTTTCAACATCTATGCCTCCAATCAGCAACTAGTGATCAGAGGAAAATGTGTCTTGCTTGATTGATGTGAACCCATCTACAATTTATGTACTTTTTGTTATTGCCCTAGTTTTTTTTTCTTTTGCTCATATCATTGGACACTGTACATTTTTCTCTTACACATTTTTGGTATTTGAAGGATGCTTACATTTAGGCTCTATGCACACTAGCATTTTTTTCTGCTCCTAGAAGCCGTTATCAACATTTTTTGTTCTGCTCCTAGAAGATGAATAGTGTTAGTCTATGTGTTCATGCACACTATTTTAGGATTGTGGCATTTTATAAGCTTCAGCATTCAGGAGGAGAAAAAAAAATTGTTTTTGTAGAGTTTTTGGAAGCGTTTCTCCAGAATTTAAAAAAAAAAAAAAAAATGCTAAAAGCTCCTTTTTTTAGTCCCCCCCCCCCCTACATGCACTGTAAAAATGATAACAAAATGCTAACACTTCTAAATGCTAAAATGCTACCAAAAAAACATTTTTACCCAGCTTCTTAAAAAAATATATGTTAGTGTGCATGGAGCCTAATACTGTATTCTGTGTATAATGTATCTTGGAAGCCTAAAAATATTTATTTAAAAAATATATATTTTTTTTAAATTATTATTATAACTATATACAGGTCTTAGATGAAAAGTGAATAGAGTGAGTTGGATCTCAAGGGCACAGTGTCTGTGGGTAGCCCAAGTTGGGCAGATGCCTGCTGATGGGACACTGGGTTTAAGTACTACCATGCAGAGGTTGGGGTTCAGTGATCTTTTTTTCTGAGTAATCTGTGCCCAACAAAGCAGGCAGCAGACTCTGCCAAAATGCAGCTACTACTCCATCCATTTTTGTACTGTTTTCATCCTCATAGGATGCAGTATTTTCTACCAAGGCAATGCTACACACATATCCTGAGAATTATCATGTACCACTTTCCTGGCTGACTTGAATGCAGCGGAGAACAAAAGCAGCTAACGTGCACAATACCAATGTCCTTTCTGACACTGTATAAAGAGTTCAGCTGAAGACTGTCATGAGTATGTGTCAGTGTGACAGTAACTAAAAGCTGTACCCTGACATTCCCGTAGCCAGTAATTTAGTGGGAGATTACTCTGTATTAAATTACAGGCTCGATAGAACTGTTTAATGAGAACTAGATCCAAAAATAATCGAAATAAATTTGTCTTTGTATAAGATATAAAAAGATAGCACATCCATAGTATGCTCCTATAATGATGCCTTATTAAAACACACTATGATAGCTAATGGTCAAGAAATTCAGTTGTCAAGCTGTTACTTACCACTAAAGCAGTCTCTTGGGAACGCAATGAGAAATAGACATGTAAGAAGGAAACCGAACTTCATCCTAAAAAAAAAATATATATATATATATATTAACGAACTGTATTTTTCATCAGTCATGATTATGGGTATTTTACTTATATTGTTTTGACCTCATGCAAATGCATTAATACATAATAATATAGTTACTTTACCATTTACACTATTAGATAGAAAACCTCGAGAATTTAGCGGTGCCACTTAAGGCTCGTTTACACTTAGGCGTCATGTACACTGCTGCACGTTTAGGAGCTTTTGGTGTTTTTCTGCCAAAGCCCCTGAAACGCGGCGTTTAGCGGTTGAGTGTTTATTCATTTCATTGGCCAGAATGCTTGCCAATGAAATAAGTCAACGTCCAAGTGCTAAATACGCTACCTGTTTTCACACATTTTGATGCATTTAGAATTTTTCTCCTGCCAGTAGAGTTAATGTCTATGGCAGTTCCAGTGTACATGTAGACTAACAGTTGGGGTCGGCAGAAGCAGGCAGAGTTTAATTGAAAAAAGAAAAAAAAACAAACAAAATAATAAGGCAGTCAGGAGGTGGCACAATTGCCTCCTGAACGCCTGAGCAGCTTCTTAGCTGCATTCTGAGAAGTGATCCACAGCAAATCACTTTTCAGAGCATGGGCTTGTGTAAAACTAGCCTAGTAAATTTAGTCAACATGACTGCATGAAAGTATTACTAGTCTAATTTTACACATAGAACAGCATTTATTTTTTAAAAGGTAGGTTTTTTCAAATTAGCTTTGGTGATTAAATTGCCATTAAATGCAGATCATTAAAAAAACTGTCAGTACATGCTGTTCATAGTCGCTGTTTTCTGTATTCTGAAAAAAAAAACAAAAAAACTGGTTGATCCTGCTGTTCGCTGTCTCTCCCTCCTGTCCATGTCCCCACTGAAGTAGATTTTACAAAGCAATGTGCCAACACATTGCTGCCAAGCTACTGCACATGCTCAGTTTTCCGTGCATTTCTATGCTGAGCATTTCCTCCCTCCTTGTACCAAATCTGTTGCAATTGTTTATGGGATTTTTATTATTATTAATATTGTGTATATAAAAATAAATGTACCGTATTTTCCGGCGTATAAGACGACTTTTCAACCCCTGAAAATCTTCTGAAAAGTCGGGGGTCGTCTTATACGCCGGTGCGAGCCGGTGTCAGGGCGGCACTTTGTCAAGGGGCGGCGCGGCGCCACCCCCCCTCCTCCTCCAACGGACACTAAGTACAGGGGTGGGCAGAGGGGCTGCTGTACCTTACCTGGCTCCGGTCCCACGATGATCCGGTCCAGGAAGCGCGGCTGCTCCTTCTTTCAGTTCGGCCGTTCGATGGTCACGCGGCCGCTTGGCTCCGCCTCCTCACCAGTGATTGGGCACCAGCACTGGAAAGGCACACAGGTGACCAATCACCGGCGAGGAGGCAGAGCCGAGCGGCCCCGCGAAAATCGAGCGGCCGAACTGGATGAAAGGAGCAGTCGCTCCTCTCCCCCACTGACACTAACGATGGGGCACTATTCCTCCTCCACACTGACACCAACGATGAGGCACTGTTCCTCCCCCACTGACACCAACGATGAGGCACTGTTCTCCCCACTGATACCAATGATGGGGCACTATTCCTCCTCCCCACTGATACCAATGATGGGGCACTATTCTCCCCACTGATACCAATGATGGGGCACTATTCCTCCCCCACTGATACCAATGATGGGGCACTATTCCTCCCCCACTGATACCAATGATGGGGCACTATTCCTCCCCCACTGATACCAATGATGGGGCACTATTCCTCCCCCACTGATACCAATGATGGGGCACTATTCCTATTCCCCCCACTGACACCAATGATGGGGCACTATTCCTCCGATGATGAGGGGCACTACCAATGATGGGGACTATTCTCCCCAACTGACACCAATGATGGGGCACTATTCCTCCCCCCACTGACACCAATGATGGGGCACTATTCCTCCCCCACTGACACCAATGATGGGGCACTATTCTCCCCACTGATACCAACGATGGGGCACTACTTCTCCCCACTGACACCAACGATGGGGCACTATTCCTCCTCCCACTGACACCAATGATGGGGCGCACTATTCCTCCCACTGACACCTCCTGCCCCCATGATGATGACCAATGATGGGGCACTATTCTCCCCACTGATACCAACTGCTTCTCCCCCACAGTGATGACACTATTCCTCCCACCAATGATGGGGCACGATTCCTCCCCACTGACACCAATGATGGGGCACTATTCCTCCACTGACACCAATGATGGGGCACTATTCCTCCCACTGACACCAATGATGGGGCAATTCCTGCCACTGATACCAATGATGGGGCGCTATTCCTCCCCACTGACACCAATGATGGGGCGCTAATTCCTCCCACTGACACCAATGATGGGGCGCTATTCCTCCCACTGACACCAATGATGGGGTGCTATTCCTCCCACTGACACCAATGTGATGGGGCACTATTCCTCCACTGACACCAATGATGGGGCACGATTCTCCCCCACTGACACCAATGATGGGGCACTATTCCTCCTCCCACTGACACCAATGATGGGGCACTATTCTCCCCCACTGACACCAATGATGGGGCACTATTCCTCCCCTGACACCAATGATGGGGCACTATTCCTCCCACTGACACCAATGATGGGGCACTATTCCTCCCACTGATTCCTCCCACTGACACCAATGATGGGGCGCTATTCCTCCACCACCAATGATGGGGCGCTATTCCACCCACTGACCAATGATGGGGCACAATTCCTCCCACTGACACCAATGATGGGGCACTATTCCTCCCACTGACACCAATGATGGGGCACAATGATATTCCTCCACTGATACCAATGATGGGGTGCTATTCCTCCCACTGATACAATGATGGGGTGCTATTCCTCCCACTGATACCAATGATGGGGCGCTATTCCTCCCACTGACACCAATGATGGGCACTATTCCTCCCACTGACACCAATGATGGAGCACTATTCCTCCCACTGACACTAATGGGGACACTATTCCTCCCACTGACACCAATGATGGGGCACGATTCTTCCCACTGACACCAATGATGGGGCACTATTCCTTCCCACTGGGTGACTAATGATGGGGCACTATTCCTCCCACTGACTAATGATGGGGCACTATTCCTCACACACTGACTGACACTAATGATGGGGCACCATCATTGGTGTCAGTGGGAGGAATAGTGTCCCATCATTGTTATCAGTGGGAGGAATAGTGCCCCATCATTGGTGTCACTGGATGAAATAGTGCCCCATCATTGGTGTCAGTGGGGAGGAATAGTGCCTCATCATTGGTGTCTGTGGGAGGAATAGCACCCCATCATTGGAATACCATACCATATTGAAATCAAATCTGATGTATTTTTTTTCATTTTTATTTGGTGTGCGTTGGAAGAGGGGTAGTCTTATACGGCGAGTATAGCTCAAACCCTATATTTTAACAGGAAAAGTAGGGGGGCGTCTTATACGCCCAGTCGTCTTATACGCCGGAAAATACGGTAATTGGTCTTTGGATAACATTTAAGAACAACCAATCAAAAAATGTATATACTGAATTTATTTTTTAAGGTAATGGATATCACATCTGTACACATACACTGGAAGGACCTATTGTACCAAAGTGCTGGAATGTATACAGCTTCAAGCTCTGGCATTTAATACTTGAGAACGAATATATTTAAGATTCTGACACACAGCAGATGTTCATCATCCAATACTATCCAGTTTAACAAGTTCAGGTCACAAATCAGGTGCCTGTGGATTTCAAATAGCCTCAGAAGACATTTGTGTTACACCAGTATCAGAAGAAAGTTCAGATGGTCAGGCTGTTAAATTTACAATTGACCTTTCATTATTCTTATCTGTCAAGAAACGTGATCGACTGTTTTAATATAGGCAATGCCATTTTTAATTGTATGCCCTTTTTACCCTTCTACACTTGATTTGTGTCATTTTCAGACTATGATATTTTCAATAAACCTACTCCACAGAATATACTTGACTTTGGAGCTTGTGTTCACGGGACCTGGTATTTTGCAGCTGATGTCTTTGTGAAGCATTATAAAGGTTCACTGGCACTGTTTGGATCAGATGAAGCAGTGTTTGTTGCTGTAATGTAGTATACAGTCTTGCTGATATTTGCCAGATGACCCCAAGTGTTCCATTTCCCAGATCCAGATGCCCAGGAGTTGGTTTTGATATACTCAAATGCGCATTAGATTGCGCTTTCTGGTTAGTGCAATCTACACTCATTTTCAGCCACTGGAGTCACGGAGTTTCACCTTTATATTGTTATTGAACTTGAAATTAATCGATTTTACACCACTTTATGCACTTTATTACATCACAATTGGACGTTATTCACATTACTGTTTTTAGTGACCTGAAGCGCTCTTTTACACCATTTATTGCTTGTGATAGTATTAAGCAGCTGATTTATGTATTTATTCATCATCATCTTATTTAGCGCTGCATATATATGTTATGAGTATACAGTCTCAGCCCTCTCCCAGCATCTTTAGGATACTGAGAATGGAGCGTCGTGCCAAGGTAATATTACATGTGTGCATACCAGTTAGAAATACATCACCAAGTGGCTGCCCAGTGGCAAATGAAGAGAGAAGATACCAGTCCAGGAAAGTCAAAGAAGATGGAAGGGATGGGGACCACAAACCTGTCAGCAAGGGCAATTTGTGCATATTTGCACATTATGGCAAATGCTGCATTCCCACTATATTTCTACTTTAAGAGGTCTGCCCTCTCCTTCCTTTACTGTATGGTAAGTTATGTAAAGCTGAACTCTGGGGAAGACCAAATATTGTCTAAATACAGATGTCTTGTGTATTTCTTCCAGATCTATGCAGTAATCCAGTGAAAAATGTTCCCTTTGTGCAGAAACTTCCTATAACAAAGACTAGTCAATGCTGCTCTCTCCCTTCCTTGTGTAGGGTGGTCTTGTCTCAGCCCCTCGTGTGGTTTTCTGCAGACAGCCTGCCTTCTCAGCCCCTCCCACAGCTCTGCTTTCTGTACAGGCTATGATGTCAATTACGTTAATATCTAGAATTATATCATTTGTGGATGTTAAGGAATATATTTAAAAAAAAAAAAAAACAAAAAAAAAAAAAAAAAAAAGTATTTTGTACCTGGAGATCGTCTTTAACTGAAACAATAATGAATAGATCAGGGGTTGGGACATTTAATGTGCACATACCTTCCAGGCCAGTGACTCACTAGAAAATGAAAGCAAGGTATAGATAATAGTCTCAAAAAGCCTTACCTTTAAAAACACGTTAGCAGCTTCCATATTGATATCCCCTTTCACATGGGGCAGATTCTGTTCTGATCAGCAGAGGATTGCCTTACAGATCCCCTGCTGATGGGAAAAAAGCAGGAAGATGACAAATCTGTGTCTGCTCAGTTTCTATAGAAAGGACACACACAGAGCCCGCTCTGCTCTATGGGGATGGGAGTAAATGGACTCCACTGTCCTTTTATACCAAAATACTCTCCGATCCCCTGCCATTTTTTAGCAGACAGGATCGGCTGCAGAGGTAGGCAGGTTTAAACAGACAAAAGTCTTTTTACACCCACCTGTCCACAGCAATTCATGGACCCTCCAATCAGGTCCATCTGAAAAACTAACAGGCGAACCTGATTGGATCACCTGTGTGAAAAGTGTCCTAAGGGGGTTTACAGCAGGAAGGCAGCTCAGAGCATATTACTTTACTGTGGAGAGAGAGAGATCAAGTAGTAGCACCTCCAACAGGGGTTGGAAATCACAAGAGTATAACCATGAATTTTTGGCTGGTAATAGACTTCCTAAATATGTGTTTCATCCATGGAGTTTTAGATCTGATGTTCCCCTTTTATATAAACCAATTACTGACATGTTAATCCTGTCACTGCTGCTAACAGCTACATCGGGGGCATCACTGGCATATACTCACTCCTTGCTACTATCATTTACATTTTTTATCCTCAGATTTCTCGTATAAGTGATCCAGGAGGCTGAAGAGCTACCTGACCACTTCCCACCTGACCCCCCTTTCCATCTTGACAGGATGGAAAGCAGTGGAAGAGGTTTGCCAATCCCCCCCATGAAGAATGACCACAGAAGTGGTCAGCTCTGAGCACACTTAGGTTCAAAGATGTCAATCTGTTTGAAGTTAGGTAGAAAATAAAAAAATGGTTAAAAAAGCAAATACAGTAAGAAAGACTGTAAAAGCCTCCAGCTCCCACTTTCACACAAGCACATGCATTGGGTGTGCACTCATTTGAAGACATTTGCACCACACATTAACTATCGCCATTCATGACAAAGTGGGAGGAATAATTATATTTAATTATGTACTGTTAGTGCTGATTCACATACGTGCGGAGGGGATTGAAGCTCAGGTTTCACAGCTAATCGATACAGTAGTGGTACAGCGGTTCAGGTCAGGTTTACATCAGGTTTAGGTCAGGATTTTATTCTGTTCACAACTGATGACGTGTACGGTTTAGAAATGTTTCCCATAGAAGTCAACAGACTGTAACCTGCACCTGAACCACACTGCTCAGAAAAAGGACATACGGTAACTCTTTTTCAATCCGCAATGAATCTGCACCGCCAGTGCACCAGACATATGTGTACAGGCACCATAGGAAGCAATGGTATTTCCCTTCATGTGGATTGGATGAGGTTCAAACTGCATTCAATCCGCATACAGTCAGGTCCATAACTATTGGGACATCGACACAATTCTAACATTTTGGGCTCTATACACCACCACAATGAATGGATTTTAAATTAAAAACAAACAAGATGTGCTTTAACTGCAGACTGTCAGCTTTAATTTGAGGGTATTTACATCCAAATTAGGTGAACGGTGTAGGAATTACAACAGTTTGCATATGTGCCTCCCACTTGTTAAGGGACCAAAAGTAATGGGACAATTGGCTTTTCAGCTGTTCCATGGGCAGGTGTGTGTTATTCCCTCATTATCCCAATTAATTACAATGAGCAGATAAAAGGTCCAGAGTTCATTTCAAGTGTGCGATTTGCATTTGGAATCTGTTGCTGTCAACTCTCAAGATGAGATGCAAAGAGCTGTCACTATCAGTGAAGCAAGCCATCATTAGGCTGAAAAAACAAAACAAACCCATCAGAGAGATAGCAAAAACATTAGGCGTGGCCAAAACAACTGTTTGGAACATTCTTAAAAAGGAACGCACCAGTGAGCTCAGCAACACCAAAAGACCCGGAAGACCACGGAAAACTGTGGTGGATGACCGAAGAATTCTTCCCTGGTGAAGAAAACACCCTTCACAACAGTTGGCCAGATCAAGAACACTCTCCAGGAGGTAGGTGTATGTGTGTCAGAGTCAACAATCAAGAGAAGACTTCACCAGAGTGAATACAGAGGGTTCACCACAAGATGTAAACCATTGGTGAGCCTCAAAAACAGGAAGGCCAGATTAGTTTGCCAAACGACATGTAAAAAAGCCTTCACAGTTCTGGAACAACATCCTATGGACAGATGAGACCAAGATCAACTTGTACCAGAGTGATGGGAAGAGAAGAGTATGGAGAAGGAAAGGAACTGCTCATGATCCTAAGCATACCACCTCATCAGTGAAGCATGGTGGTGGTAGTGTCATGGCGTGGGCATGTATGGCTGCCATTGGAGCTGGTTCTCTTGTATTTATTGATGATGTGACTGCTGACAAAAGCAGCAGGATGAATTCTGAAGTGTTTCGGGCAATATTATCTGCTCATATTCAGCCAAATGCTTCAGAACTCATTGGACGCCGCTTC